CCCACGCGTGGTAACGTCATTGCATTGTGTCGTATTCCCGCCTCGTTCGAAAAACAAACACAAGGACGCCCTAGTACAACAAAAGCTACCTCCACTCGTATCTAACCTCAAGCGCCGATTCTCTTCCTCCCGGAGTTCGTAGCAGCTAGAGCACTCCTCGAAGTCCTTGCCTCCGATTCTGCTCAAGGCAGGGTGTAGCGAGAATAGCGATCCCACGCACTGGTCGCGCAAAACACCTCTGAGGGAAGCCAGCGCCTCGGTTCCCTGAAACAGTCTGGCCTGAAGGTTCGCGAGCCAGGTCCTCGACCATGCCGTATGACCGCCTTTCGTTCAAAATTACAAAACCGGCGGAAAACATGAAAGTATACTACCACCTGTTGATGATTCGTTGAACCTGGGTCATTTCTCGGGTAGGACACGCAGCACACAGCCTGAAATCAAGTTGAAATCACGCGGTGTTGTGGGTGGATACCCCGGCTTGGTACCAAACACCAGTACGGAAGAGCCGTGCCTTGTATCAACAGTCAGGTAGCCAACGAAGGAAGGAATAGTTGGTTGGCACCGCATCAACACTTTGAACCAAGGTTGTAGGACCAGAGTGGCTAAGTGCAGTGCAGGTTTCATTGAGGCCGCCTGTGTGTCAAGAACTGTCGAAGGTGTCAGGCTTTGACCACGAATACAGTCCCAATCCAGTCCCAATCCAGGTAAGGCTTGCGTGTACCGTACGGAAGGCGAAGGTTCAGGTCCTTGGTCAGAAGGCAGACTTTTGCGAAATATGTATGCTGCCGCAATAAACGCCGAACAGAACGGCAGGAACACCGCGTGTAGCAATGGCAATTGTTCATGGTCACCCACCCGCATTGCTTATCTTGTACTGAACCGTAGCCGCCGCTGCGTCAAAGGCATCCTCCCCTTGAGACGGAGATATCTGGGGTCGGGAAAAAAAGGGGGGAATGTGGCATGTGAACGATATCCTGCGACACTGTCTCAACTCGCTAGACGATCACCGTATCACTATCACTATCTACGGGCCCGGCATATGGTCCACCCGAGACACTTCTGACCATGCCACCAGCGTAACCTCGTTCCCCGGCAGAACCGACCATGGTGATCATTCCCTTTCGCCGACAACATGGCAAGGTATCGGTGTTCATCAATTGCACACCCCCCCGAAAGAACAGGCCAGCATCAAGAGCCAACCAAGCAAGGTGTTGGTTCTCTTAGTTCTCCGTGACGCAGCGGACCGCGTCTTGTGCTGGCAAGACGAGTGGTCACTTCCTAGGTCTCATGCTTTTCACGCACAACCAAAATCAATCCCACACCAAGAACGGCGACAGAGGGCGCGGAGGGGAACCTCTTTCACCGGAAACCGAACGCTTTTCATGATCGCCAGCTACGAACTGAGTCTACCGCAGCCGCCCGGCGTGTGGAAGCACACTAAACAGAATAGAAAAAACATACCCGATGTGAGGACCAGGCTGGAGCCACTTCAACAATGGCCTTATTCAGCTTACCTTGCAAGAAAATAAACACAATTACGTGTCAGTGAGGGCCACTTGACTTGCAGCACAGGTGCCTTGAAACTATTCCACCGGTCGAAAACCGGCCTCACCTTGTCAGACATCAATAATACGCAATGAACTACCAGCATCTCCTTGTGCGATCAGCCACCAAACACCCCGCCTTCGCACCTGAAACCCGGGGTAGAGGCCCCACAGACCGGAAAAATGTCGGTGTCCGGGATCGGGCAAATCCGACGTGTCGACGCCCCTGTACTCTCGTATCATTCCGTCTCTTCCGACGGACGGGTGACCTCTGTTGGGAAGCTTCGAGAGCGCTTCCTGGGACCGTTCCGAAAGGCGGCGCAACCTCTCCGAAACTGCCAGGAAAGTGCTTCGCACGGGATTGTCGGTGGGGTTGACAAGGAGCTCTTCTTCTCGCCAAGGGCCTGAGTTGGGAAACGCCAGGGAACCATATAGAATTGGCGTTCGAGGGAAGGGGCGGGGGGGTGTACTCATAGTCGTGCATGCCGTAGTCGTTAGACCATTGACCTCGCATCCCTACAAAGCCGGGACGGAGCACGCCGGGTTCTCACCGGACCAGGCTCTCACATCACCAAGCGCAAAGCGCCGTGAGGTATTCGGCGAGTCGCATGAAGGGTGAGCTACATCCTGCTAAGGGTGTTGGGCATCTTGTGCTTACTTCCCTGCGTACGGATGACAGCTGCGTATGACTTACTTTATTTTCTGGTACTTTCACTTCCAGAGACAGTTGTAAGCACTGTGCAACTGCCTCGAGGAAGCTTGACCAATTTAACACAACGTGGTGCGATCATCCCCCTTGCGCGGAGTGAGGGTTCTCCACCCCGCACAACATGATCTACTCGACCACCACTATGGTTACCGCCAAAAAAAAAACAGAGGTGAAAAAAAAACGGTAACCTGGTTGCCGAGTTCACGAAGTGAATTGGCTTCTTTTACAACGTCGTTGCCAAGAGACGAAAACCCAATCCCGATGGCAAACACCGAGGGGGGGGCTTGTTTTACAACGTCGTTGCCAAGCGACGAAAACCCAGCCCCGATGGCAAACACCGGGGGGGGGTACGGGGGGGGGGGGGGGT